TCAAGCGGTAATATATGGTTATTTCTCATATATTTTAAATATTTTTGTTTATCTGTTAAGCATATTGCACATTCATTTCCTTTTCAAAACTATTCCACAAATTAACTGTTTTTACTGTAATACACCTCTGTCTTGTATTTGTCTGATTTTGTTTAGTTTTTTGGTAAGCATGTTACCCATTTTTCAGTAATTGGTACATGTAAATCGGTAATGGCTATTTTCAGGGTCATTGTCACATGCTAGCCTAGCGATGAAAGGAAACTTAAAAGCATCATTAATTGACAGCTAATAGGCAAATTATGACTTATTCTCTTTACATATTTAGAATACAACATAAATATGAGGCTATTAGTTGTTAAAAGTTCATATTTGTAGCAATACTTGTCCTGAAAGTGCACAAGTAATGTTCTATATCACTTTTATGGATGTAAAAATGATGGCAAACCCAATATAAAAGTTTTTGTATGTTTGGATTGGATAGAAACTCAACTCTCAAGCGGTCTGTTGACTCATTGACAATGTTCTGCTTTGTTCTTGCAGGGTGACTGAGAAGAGGGGGTCAACAAGATGTCTTTGCACAACCTGGCCAGTGTTTGGTCCGACTCTGCTGCGGCCGTCAGAGAAAGACAGCAAACTCTCCAGCAGCTCCACGCCCATCTCTATGAACGACAGCTGGTCTCTGGAGGTCATGTGTCAGGTACAACATGGGACAGAATATAGAGTGATGCAGGGATGACAGATTTTGTAGGCCGACCCTGACGGCAACATCTCCCTTGTTCCCTCGATAAAAAGCCAATGGTTATTTCAGAAAATAATCTCTGTCAAACAAACGTTTATGATGCTTACACGTTTAGTTCAGCAGGATAATATCCACATATTAACACCAAGTTATGATTTTGAAGTCAAAAGCTAATGTTGGGCTATAAAGGAACTACAGCACGGTCACATGACTTCACGTCACCACCACTAAGCTAAAGGTGGCTAATGTTGGGCTATAAAGGAACTACAGCACGGTCACATGACTTCACGTCACCACCACTAAGCTAAAGGTGGCTAATGTTGGGCTATAAAGGAACTACAGCACGGGCACATGACTTCACGTCACCACCGCTAAGCTAAAGGAGGCTAATGTTGGGCTATAAAGGAACTACAGCACGGTCACATGACTTCACGTCACCCCACCGCTAAGCTAAAGGTGGCTAATGTTGGGCTATAAAGGAACTACAGCACGGTCACATGACTTCACGTCACCACCGCTAAGCTAAAGGTGGCTAATGTTGGGCTATAAAGGAACTACAGTACGGTCACATGACTTCACGTCACCACCGCTAAGCTAAAGGCGGCTAATGTTGGGCGTGAGGATGTTTAGTCGTCTCATTTAGACACTTGATAGCAATTGACGTTTTTAAATCCACCAGTGGGTGACGTATTTTATGTTGTAGAACAAAACTTTAAAATCTCTTCAGCTTGTGTTAACCACAGACCTTATTTCAGGCACCCAAAAACACATTGACTTCCAGATGATTACAGGGGGGAAACCTCAGCTAGCTATTAGCCGTAAAGTCAGGCATCCAGGGAATTTCAGTTATTGTACCTGTGTGGACGTAGGCTTTTCAAAACAAAAGCACCTAGCTCAACACAACCCTTTAGAACATTTCCCTAAACTTAAAATGACTATATCAAAACTCAGAGAGTTAGAGAGTTTGAACTTGAGGGAAAATAGAGGCAGAAAAAGATAGGGATTCAGAACAATAGATATCATTGTAAAATGTGGAATCTCTGTATCCTCTGCAATTATATTTATTCATACATTAATATTTTGTATAGTCTAGTACAATGAAACACACCATACTATATGTGCAAACACCCTATGTAATAACTGAAAGGTGAATACATATATAAAGCTTTGTTATGTTATTTCTATTTGTATCCACTTCTTCTTATCCTGTGTCATTTTACCTATCACTATATCAGAATTGTCCTCTGCTTCTTTGACTCTTTTGTAACAATACATTTCTTATCTACTAAGGTTAATACTGAAGATATTTACAAGGTGAAAAAGTTAACCAGAAGAGCTAAATATGCCGACTTAATTCTGAAGTGTAGGATTCATTCGTGCAGCTCTATATGATAAGTTACACAGGGTACAAGTTTCACTTTTTTTGGCTCTGATCCTGTTCTGTGTCCCCAGGTTCAAGTCCTCCTCTACTTCCTTCAGCTGGAGGGATCCCAACCCCGACAGCAAGCGTCAAAGCCTCTCTTCACCACTGAAGTATAACGGGAACATGGTGCACTGATTATTCTGTGCACAGGCTGAATATCTGAGGATTAATGAGGCGGACCCTGCTGTGTTACTGTGAGGACGCTTCATGTGGCCACTAGGTGGACTCAGCAACACATTAAACTGGAAACAGCCATAATCACCACAGCCTGCTGTCAGAAGAAGATATAGGAAACATATCATCCCTTTTTTAATTTAAAATGATTTGCTGTTCTGTTCCACTGTGAACATTAGCCATATGCACAGAGGAGGGATTTCTGCTGTATTAAGATTTATTTCTGATATATAAAGCTCACCTGTGCCAATGTGTCCCCCTGCTGATGACCAAACATTACCCTAAATGTTTACCTTCATTTTGTACAGTTTTTTTTTAAAATATTGAGACTGAAAACTGTAGTTACACAAAGCAACGTGCAGGCATGTGACCTTACCTTTTAAAGTGTGCAGGTTATACAATTTGTTAGTGACCTTATTCAGTTTGCAGCTGCTTCTGGTGGCAGTGTTGTATGCGATATGAGGGCTTTATATGGGACGTGGTACAGAGAAGAATAGGCTAATCATTCCAGGATATGTAATGAATGCTGTGCTGTGTATAATTTTAATTTCAAATGTTTTTGTCTGTATGTTAATATGTTGTTCCATGTTTGATGTCTGATTTTAAGAGGCCCTATTATGCTTTTTTTCCCTTCTGGTTTTCCCTTTCCTGTAGTTTGTTATATAGGTTTTTGTGCATTTAAATGGTCTGCAAAGGCAAAAATCCCTGTAACGCCTCCATTTGACTCCTTTGTTTACTTCCAGAACATGGTAACATCACTATGTAACACTCACACTTGTATTGGCTAGCGCTCCAACAAATTGTACTTGATTGAGTAAGGGGCGGGACATCTCTAAGCGGTTGACCAATCAAAACAGAGCTAGCCAGCTAACCAATCAGAGCAGACTGAGGTGCTGCAGCACAGCTTTTTGAACATTAAAGCATAGAGACATGACACAGTAGATGCACTAAATACTGATACTGTATACACCTGAACATGAACATAATAGGGCCTCTTTAATTAATTATGTATATGTGTTGCTTCCTGCTGCATTCCTTCTCTGTAGTCCACCTTTAAAAGGACAAAACCACACTGCTGTAGTAGGAATAAAATCACCTGGATTTTAAATACTAAATGTTTCCTCTTAGGACCTACTTAAAGCACAGTTATTCACTCATATTCAAGTCTCCTGGCATAGGGTTATCATGTACCTATAGTGTTACTGAAAATACACTGTGTTCTTGCATTAATATGGTTTTTTCCCAATCACTGCTGCAAGTATTGAAACACTTGCTGGCACAATCCTTATCCCTAAAGGCTTATGTATAATAAAAAGCAATAACTGTTAGTGATTCTTAGGATGAGACTTCTTGTATGTATGATTGTGTAAATAAAAACTTGGTAACATTATTCTTGCAATGTTTCAGTCTTTGTACATTATTATTGGTGAAAATACAGTCAGTGTACAATTGCTCTGTTGATGTTTAGTTTCTGATACAATTACAATACAAAATTACAAATTATAGTATTCGTGTAGAAGTATTCAGTAACATAACATGGAAATACTCAAGAAGAGTACAATTATACTCACATGAATACTTGTGTGTGCAAGTACATTACTTGAGTACATTTACTTAGTTTCTTTCCATCACTGCTCAATAACCTCACATTTGAATAATAGATTGCATTTCTTCAGTAAATACTTTAGTACTAGTTACTTTCCAACACTCAAGAAAAAGTACCTCAAATCTGTTCTTAATTGCATTACTTGAGTAAAGTTACTTAGATTATTTCCAACACTGCTAGAGTACCTACTAAATAATGGAGTGCATTACTTGTGTGAATACTTGAGTACTTAGTTACTTTTCCGCACTGCTCAGGAATATTTTGTATATGTGTTCTCCTGCAGCCAGTGAAGTCTACCCTGTTAAAGAGGGTGGTGTGCATTACTGGACATTACCTTACATTATATTAAGTGCATACTTGAGTAAAGGTCAATTAGTTTATTTCCCTGTTAAAGCAGTTGGTTAAAGAGGGTGGTGTGCATTACTAGAGTTGATGTCCTTAGGCTAGTTTATTTTCAACACTGCACAATTACCTCCATTTTTTTCTTAATTGCATTACTTGAGTAAGGTTACTTAGTTTCTTTCCAACACTGCTAGAGTACCTCACACTTAAATAATAGAGTGCATTACTTGAGTAAATACTTGAGTACTTTTCCTAATACTCAGGAGTATTTAATATGTGTTTCTCCCACCTCCCTGTTAAAGAGGGTGGTGGGAGATGCTGATGCAACCGGAGGAGGGGGCCGAGGATCCGGCTGCTGCCAGCAGAGAGAGCCGATGCTGCTGTGAACTCACTATATATACCAGACACAACCAGGAATAACCTCTGGACATTTATCAAAGTATCAAACAGCAGAAACAAGGAGAAACATCAGGTATGAGCGTTTTATCTGCTTAACTGACACTGTCTTTTTCTTTTAGCCGGCTATGCTAACATTGTTAGCCTAGCATTAGCATTAGCTTTGCCATTTGTTTCTGACAGCTGTGGGGGATTTAATGACTGAAAAAGGAAACGAAAAAAGCTACTTTAAAGGGATTTTAACTACAAAGACTCGGTTTGTATGTGTGTTTGTTTTAAATTGCTTGGTATGCTTTGTTTTTAACCATTACATTAGATTTTTGGTCAACTGTCAAGGTGGAAAAATCAGTTGACGTAATGTTCGTAACATTTCAAAATAAATGTCTATGTTGACGTTTAGACATTTATTATTTTATCTGCGTCAAAATAACTCTGTGTTTATCATATATTTATATATAAGGCTAGGTTTTTAAAGCTTTTAACTCTGTAAACCGGAAGTATGTTGTCCAACCCATTTGCACCTTACAGAAGTTAAAGAGTAAAAAATGCAGAGGAAAAAGTTAAGGAAGATAAACAAAAGCAAGACGCATTTGAAAATAAACAAAACACAACACAGTTTTATACATTCATTCACATTTCCTTTATTGCATTTGTGTAGCTTTGAAAACTGGAGGTATCTTTTTCACCTCATTTACACCTGAAGCTGAAGAGTCAAAGGAGCAGTCGAGTAAGTTATAGGAATGATAAACAAAATCAAGACACTTGTGTGTACGAATGTATAAAGCTATATGATGTTATTTTACACAACATAGATTTATACTTGTGTATATATATACATTTCCCTAATTGCATTGGATAATTGGAACTAACTTGTGATAACATTTGTCTAAATCTGTGCAAAAGATACAAAATGTGCGTAAAACACATCTATATTAACTTTTTCCTCTATCTCTAATAAGTGGTTTTTCATATTTTGTGTACATCTTCTCGTTCTTTGGGAGTTTCTTCTAATTATTAGAGTTTAAGGGAACGTTTTTGAAGGGTTGTGCCTACGTGTCGAGATCGGTGCTTTTGTTTTGAAAAGCGCACGTTCAAACAGGAAGTGCAATTACTGAAATTCCCTGCATGCCTGACCTTAAAGCTAACAGCTAGCTGAGGTTATCTCCTTTAGTTTTACCATGGTTTAAAGTGTCCATTTGGTCTCTTAACGTAACAAACCGACATGTCTCTACTCCCTAGACTCTGGTTGTTGTCTTTACCTAAACAGTTTGTTTTGTGAAGTATGTGTTTGTGTGTTTTAATGACAAACTGTAACTGCTAACGTTAGCAAGGCTGATGCTAATGTAGGTGTAGCCTGGAACAATGTAAATGTGCCCCCTGAGAAAAGTCAACAGTAGGCTGATGGTGCACTTGTCAGTGGCATATCTCACACAGAGGTGGAAGAAGTTGATATTTAACTTAAGTAGAAGTACCAGAGTGTAAGTCCTGCATCTTAAATCTTACTTTAGTAGAAGTACAAAAGTATTGGCATGTACATATATTTAACATACCAAAAGCAGAGGTGGGAAAAGTACTCTCATCATGTACTTGGGTAAAAGTACCAGAGTGGAGGAATACTATGTTACAAGTAAAAGTAATGTATTTAAAAGGTTACTCAAGTAAAATTACAAAAGTATTAGCTTCAAAATATAGTTAAAGTACCAGAAGTAAAAGTACTTATTGTGCGCAATGTCCCATTTCAAAAATGTACTGCATTAAAGGTGGGGTATGTAATTTATTTCAGAAACACTTTTTGTTATATTCCATGGAATGCTCTTAACATCCAGATAGCAATGAATATATTAAATGCTTTGACAATAAATACATAAAAATATCATCTGTGGAAGCCGTAGTACTGTAATAAGCACGACCAATCATCTGAGCCGGCCCGGCTAAAATAACTGGATGGCCTACCTGCCTGTTAGCCTTCCATCTCGTGCACAAACTTATCTCGTGCCCTCATTGGTCATGTGCGCGTTCGTGTGTGTTGGCGGAGGGGCTCTGTAAGGAAGTCTGAAGGAAGGGGCAGATTATTTTCGGCTGCGTACTTTCAAATTCTAGCGCACTCAAGCTGGTTTCTCCAAAATTACATACCCCACCTTAATGTGTTTATTAAAGCTGGTAAAGGTAGAGCTACTCTTAAGTACTTTGTAAATCAAAAAGTATTTGTTATTTATTAGTATTAAGTTATCAGTTTATGTATACTTTTGTTTCAGCGTATTATCTGAGTCTGTCAAGTAACTGTTGTTTTTGTCAAATACATGTAGAGGAGTAAAAAGTACCATACTGGCTTGTAGTGGAGTAGAAGTACAAAGTAGCATAAAATTAAAATACTCAATTAAAGTAAAAGTACCCCAAAGTCAGCCTTAAGTACAGTACTTGAGTAAATGTACTACGTTACTATCCACCACCGTATCTTCATAAATCCCCTCTCTCTCCAGTAATTTTTTCTAAAGAAGAAGTGAGTACAGATGTTTCCCAACTTTCCTGGAAGAGCTTGGAAAGAGCAATATGTCTCAGCCCACTCTCTAAATCAATATCCAGGTCTTCAGATATGACTCATGAGATGTTTGGCCGATTATTGCTTTATTTTTTGGAAAAAGATTCCGGGGAAAACTCTCAAGTCTTGGAACTTTGCCCCCAAAGTGACATTAAACCAGTGGGGAAAAACGAGATGTTGTTTTTGATAACCAAGCTCACTTTAAGCACATCATCGCCTTGGGTTCTGAGAAACTGGGATGGAGATGTTCACTATTTTCTGACTTGTTATACACCAAGCAGAAATAAACTAATAGAGAAAAGACTGAAATATCTGAGAATTGTGTTTGTTTGTGGCAGAAAAACATGACTTTTTAAAATATATGTCTTGTTTTATTAAGTATTTGAGATCTATTTAAACACAAATAACGTATCAGGAATCCTTGGATGTTTCAGCCTTTGGAATATGGAAATTTTTCTTCTTTAAAAACTATTTTGATCACCGTAAATCATTAAAACACTTTTATTTGATTTTATATATGAACACTTTTATGCAAAAATGTCAGAAATTGTTGTTTACATTTTTTTATGAATATTACTTGATTTTTCTATGTTTCAAATGAAATTAAATTTCTTCGTACTGACAAACCAAGACATTTAAAGACATCCTCTTTACTTATACAAATGTTAAAACTGGCCTTTCTTCTACAAGGAGAGGTGGAAGTTGATTATGTCAATAGGTGCAATAGATAAACCTATGATTATGTTTATTATGCATTATACTAATTAATGTTTGGTCTGTAAAACAAAAAATAGAAAATTCCAAGCTAGTCTTTGAACTTTTTGTTGTTGTCCAAAACCCAAATATGTTCACTTTTGATGACTATAAAAGAGGGAATAAGAGACCATCTCCATATATGAGAGGCGAGGTGTAAATAGCATTATTGCATGTAAAATAACTTAAATATGAAATAGTTGCTGATTAATTTAATCTTTATGGTATAGTATTTGAGTAATCCTTCATTTCTGTCTGCATGTTGTGGTAGCATTGCAATACTGACCTCTATACATCCCATTTAACTGCAGACATTTATCATAAAAACCGCGTCTTTATTGAATTCCCGACTTGTGTATTAATATTAGAGGCATATGTTTCATAAATGAATGAAACTCAGTGTCTGCTGTGTGTCTGGCAGACTGGGGCCTGCTTGTCCTCGTTCACACACTCACCCTTTTTACTCTTTTTACTGGAGACGCCACCACAGGAAGCTCATGTTTTGGCAAGGAAGTGCCCCCCCGCGGTTAGGGAATGAATAAGGAATGAGAGCAGGGAAGGGGTTTTAATGAGTAACCTCAGCTACCCCCCAAACTCCTTCTCTTCCCAGACTTTACTTTACTTTGTCTTTGCTCAGCCGTCTGTAGAGAAACACTTGTTCCTCTGGTCCGCCATCATCAGATCCATTGCATTCATTAACCCTGGAGTCAAATACTGTAGATCTGTTTCATTTAGATAGATAGATAGATAGATA